TTTCTTTTCCCTTCCTTTTTCCCTCGTGTTACGTTAATACACACATACTTAATAAAGGGCTGTTATTTTTTTTTCTTTTTTTTCCCTTTTCCATAATTTGTTTTCCTTCAATCGGAGCCTCTTAATTTCGAATCTATAATTGCTAGAAAAGAAGGTTTGGGTCTTTTTCTCCTAATCCATCCTCAGCAAAAGACCCTTGTCTCAATTAAACTGAGACAACAACCCACTCTGGTTTTCTCCTTTCTGTAACATCATTGACTCATATTAATATTTAAATCTGAAATGTGAGATAATAGTGATTCTGTACCAGTTGGAAATGTCTAGTGGAAGGTCTTTATCAAAGAAATAAGATCTAGTTGTTCTATACCTAATTTCTAAAGAAACAGCTTTTCTGATTATCTGTACATCTGTGATCACCATAGCATGTTAAGATTAACTTTCAGGATTCCTAGTTTCAGCTGGGATAGAGTTAGTTTTGTTCCTAGTAGCTGGTACAGTGCTGCGTGCTTGGGTTCAGTGTGAGAATAATGTTTGTAACACAGTAATGTGTTGCTTGTTGCTGAGTAACGCTTACCCCACATCAAGGACCTTCCAGTCCTTGCTCTTCTAGTGAGGAGATGCAAAAGACACCAGGAGGGAGCTCAGCCAGGACAGTTGACCTGTCTGAATTGGCCAAAGGGATATTCCATAGCATAGAACGTCATGCTCCGTTTATAAACTGGTGAGAGTTGGCTGGGAACCACTAGTCACCACTTGGAGATGGGCTGGGTATCAGTCAGTAGGTAGCGAACAGTTGTGCATCACTTGTGTTTCTTGGGTTTTGCTAATCTCTTTTTCTTTTTCATTGCTATTACTATTACTGTTGTTATTATTTTACATTGTTTTACTTTATTTCAGTTTTCTGTAGAGCAGTGCTCATTGTTTACTACTACTGCTAGCTGAGTTAGGTGCAGTCATGACATGTTTAAATGACATTTTGCTTTGCTTGCTTTCATCCGTTAGCTAAATACGTTGCAGCAAAATTTACTGAGATGTTGTCCCAATTTGATTGATAATGAGCGTCTTGAATTATTTGGTGTATGCAGATGAGCTGGAGGAAGATGAGGAAGAATCTGACATGGAGCTAGAGCGACAAAATATTGAAGAGCTTTATGACTTTGTAAGACACACCCATCAGCAGGATATCCAGTTACTTAGAAAGGATGTGCAGCATCCTGCATTAATTCCCATTCTGAGGCCGTACCAAAGTGAGGCTGTGAATTGGATGCTTCACCGAGAGAACTACACAAACACCCCAAGCAGTGGCAAGTATATGGATCTGGAAAACTTGCATAATTGAAGAAAGCGTAATTGTATTGTCAGCAGTAATGTTTCCTTGCTGTTTGATTAGAAGTTTTGTTAATTATTTCTTTGCTAATTCGGTAGAAGTTGTTTGGTTAGTACATTAAATGATAAGCTATGTCTTGCTGAACAGCAGTGGATGTACCTTGTTGGTCATGAAGCTCCATGGAGGTAGACTTCACCTTTTTGTCTCTAAATGTCACAATAAGGCTGAGCAATTCTAAGCAGTGTGCTGTTTATAAAGAAACCTCACAATAGTAACATGAACACTTTCTTTGTAGAAAATGCACTGCACTTCTTATGGCGGGAGGTGATTACTCTGGATGGAGTAAAAATCTACTATAATCCATTTACTGGCTGGTATGTTTTTATAGTTACTCTTTCTGAGAATGCCTCATGGTTATACTTTATGAAATCCTCATTGGTAGCTTTATCCTGAAGAATATAGGATAATCCACATCTCCTGTTTCAGTTAGCAACTAAAGAATTAGAACAGTAATATCTTTATTTTAAAAAAAGGATAAACTGGAATATATAGTGCACAGATAAATTTGTAAATCTCAAGTTGAAGATGTAATTCTTAAAGTTTTTGTTTGTTTTTTAATTTCAATAAATTTGTGGTTTAATATTAGCATCAGACCATTGGAGACTTTGACCTTCTTATCCAGTGTGTTTAAAGTCTGAAGGAAGGGGGCAGTATAATGCTTTTTATTAAGGCTAGGTATTGCATTAATAAACCTGTTTCTTTTTTCCCATTAATTTGGTTGGAATAGAACCTTTTGATTGCTAGTTTGCATTCTATTTTTCCTTGTATAACTTTCAGATCTGTGACATCTGAATGTAAAAATATTTCAATTTTTAGAGACATGTTATGATATGCTAAGGTTAGCAGGGTAAGGCCTATTAGGAGTTGAAAATTTCTAAAATTCCTGGTGTACATAATTGTCTTGATCAGATTTATACACTCAAAAAGCTTTCTAACACTTCTTAATCTCATCTAAACTAACCAAAGATAATGCCCCACCATACAAACTTTGCCTTGCTAAAGCTGTGCTGCACGTTTCTGAACATTTGCTTTTGTCACACCATTTTGTAGTTACTGACTTTCATTTGGGAATGCACTTGAATTTTAGTATTATCCGTGAATACCCAACTGCTGGACCCCAGTGGCCTGGAGGTATTTTGGCAGATGAGATGGGCCTTGGAAAAACAGTAGAAGTGTTGGCTCTTATTCTGAATCATACTGGACCAGACATTAAACAAGATGATCTGACATTACCTGAGGTAAGGAAACAAGGATGATAGTTATTACGAAGAAAATGCTTTTCAGAATTAATGCAAATGCACTTCTCTTGAGTTTATTGCTTTCTGGTTTTGTAGCACTCTGTATTTAAAGCTGTATTGCAGGGACATTTTTTCCTTTGTAGGACATGATACTTGGTGGCATAAATCGTGGAATAGTTTGCATGAGAAGCAGTTGATAGTTTGCCATTGTTCAAGGGTGTTATCAGGCAGCTGCACAGCTTATATCATTTACATAGGCTTCAGGAGTGTATAAGTATGTTAGTTTGCTATGTTGGATGTCATTCTCTGCTTCACTTCTTTGTATTGATGAGTGTCAAACATCCATTAGACATATGTTCTATGCTAAAATAGGGACAATTTACACTCAGTAAATAAAGATTTTTGCTCTCCCTCTATTTCATACAATAAGTGGGCTTATTTAGCAACATTTTTACATCTTTTCACTTTCTTCATCATTCATACTGTAAAAACTTAGCACATTCACTAAAACCAAAAATTCTTTCTGAAGGAAGAGAACCATTGTTAAGTAACCTCTTACCACTTCATGGGTTCCATATCTGTGAATTCATGGCAGCATGTTTCATTTTACATCTATTCATAATGGTCTCCTGCCTGCTTGTAATTTTGTCAGTTAAAAGGACTCAATTCTCTGAGAGAAAAGGATGAATCTTAAATGTATGAGAGAGTCAGAACTGAGGAGTGTGAAGAGGGGAGTGTAAGCACTAAAGCACGTGGACATCGACTGATGACAGTAGCTAGAGGCTATAACTTTTGGAGAGCTGGAGTTAGTGGAACTGTTTCGTGATACAAGTAGTTGGGACAGACAGCTAATATTTTGGGACCTTTATAAGCAGAATTGTATGACATTGCCTGTGGTTGAAAGGTAGTATTCCATTCATCCAGAAGGCCCCTTGTTATTTGTATTTTTGTTGTCTTCAAATATAAAATGCCTTTGTATGATGTCCTGAAAAAAAACCAAACAAAAATAAAACCAGAAGTGGTTTATTCCACCAGAGACTTTTTGGATGACTCCTGGGTTGTGAAAGCCAATGTCAGAGTTACTTCCAATTATTTCAACTCTCTGCAGGATTCAAACAATATCTGGAATTTCATTTCAGTTACTATTTAAGAACCCTACAGAGCAGCCAATTGGATAGGACAGAGTGAAGTGTCAATGGATACAGCTATGAAACACTTAATAATAGAAATATCAGCACTGTGGTTTTTTTCCAGCTTTGAGATTCTTTTTTTATATGCCAGTTTTTGAGTATATGTTTCCTTGGATTGACTCACTATTCCTGAGTCACTAATAATAGAGTAAAATTGGGAGGGGCAATCCCTAAAAGGAAAAACTTACTCTTTATACAACTAACTACGGTTTTCCTCTGTATTGGTTACCTCCTTTTTTTGTTTCTTGATGTACAGTAAATATATATTTTCCTCCCCCATCAGTAACCTAGTTCACTTACAGCTATACATTCCTGCAAATTAATTCTGAAGCAGTGAAGGACCCCAAAAGGCCTGCAAGGCTTCTCATTCTGTTCTCAGTGTAGGTGCTGAACCCCATCTGCCAAGAAACTGAATGGAATGAGGTGTCATTCTGTACATTAAAAATGAGCTATCTGAGCAAATAAGTGAGATCAGAACATATATCTGTAGCAGCTTATGCTTATTTTCAAATGTGAAAACATTAGTGAAGGTCAGAGTGGCTGTGAAGAGACATGAGCTAATAACTATTTAATGTTCCTCTGCATTAGGGTAAGCTTGTGAACTTCTTTGTTCCACCTCAACCTTTAGAAGGAAATAAAAAGAAAAAACCAAAGGAAATGGAGCCTAAATTGAAGGAAAAAATACAATATCCCAGTAAGTATTTCTGATGACTTGTAAAATACGTTTTGCTTTTGGCATTAAGTCTTATATTGGCCACTGGCTATGAGTTCAAGGTTAGTCTTCCCTTCTTCAGAATGAAATTATTCTTTTGCTGGGCACTGTCATATGGGATTGCATGCTACAAACAAGTAATCCA